TAATAAAAATCTAATTATTCTAATTGTCAATCATCATCAAATATTTCATAATTAATCAATTATCTCAGGATATATTATTATTATTATTATTATTATTATTATAGTAGCCCTTTGTCATATCAGCATATTGGGATATAAACCAAATGAGCAATATTTCAGATGGCACAATATAACTGATGTATCTATCAATGTGTTTTGTCTATTTTTGATATCTGTGCCAACTTGCCTTTTTGTGGGTTGTATTTCATACAAAAGTAGTTTCAATGCCATTGACTGGTATAAGATAATATTTCATTTCTTTGCCAGTAGAAATTCAATGGCAGCCAATTTTTAAAAAATTATTGGCTAAAGCACTTTAATATTTGGAAGACAAAAAAGTGTATAAGGAATATCTCGAGGTGCAATATAACACAAGACTACAGTATTACGTCAAGTTACAGTATTTAACTTGTAACTACATTTTATATAAATGCAAGGCAAATTATGTTGATATTTTATTAATATAGATCTCAATTTCATATATACTAGCTAATATTAAAACAATCAGACTCAAAAACAAATAATTCTGCCAATTAAGTATACCTTCCATAATTAATGCGTCGAACATTTTCTCCAGTATTTATGTTCTAGTTTGCTAGAACCCGATCAAATAATTCTCCTCATCCGTGAAATATTGTCACCAATCTATTCAAAGCTATTTACACAAATTTAAATTATTTAAAATAGCTACTAAATTTTCTATTATTCATTATTTCATTTTGATTTTAGGATCCACCTCATGAATTAGTATATGCAAAACAAAAAGGATTTCCATACTGGCCAGCTAAAGTTATTCGGAAAACTAATGACATGTATGATGTAAGGTTTTTTGGTGGCTATCATCAAAGGTATATTATCAATTTTTATCTTTTTTAAAACTCATCTTGGTTTCCAAACTTTTATAACTGAATTATGTACTTTTGATAAATTATTACATTATAATATATATGTTATGGACAAAGTGATTAATCGGGCATTATTCATAATGACCGAGCATTATGAATAATGACCAAATAGGGCGGGNCTACAAGAAATATCATCATTATTTATATATTTTTGAAAAATATATGATATAAAATTCAATAAATAGAGAAATTAATGTAAGTTCTCTTCTTCTGACACTTCAATAAGTTGGTAAATGTTTTTATGATTAGGTAAATCTCAAAAAATGATTAATGAATTAATTTAATTTGTAAAAATCTCATTAATTTCAATTAATTATTCCATAAAGATAATGTGCATGGGTTAGGCGAGTTTATGTAATAGATTAATTGCCGCGAAAAGGTAAAAATGTCCATTTCAGTTACGTCAGGATGTGGAAGTAAGCAAACTGTCAATATCAACTTACTGCTTATATCGAAGGCTGGAAAACATTCACCTGAAGTTAAAGCACCGATCCACAACATCCATATTTACTAAATAGCGAGTGACATCTGTTTTTAAAAAATAAACTTCCTTTTCTTACAGAAATTCTTTCGGCAGTTCTCTAAATATCTGTTTGACTATATTTACCATCTATATGCATTAATATAATTATTTCGCATTTTTTTAAATATTAAATTATATATTTTTTAAATGATAAATAAAGATTATGAAGTGTAAATGATTAGAAAGCTGAATTAATGAATAAAAATATTGTGTAGCATTAATGATTAACATTATAATTAATTTTTTGGGCATAATATGATAAAATATGTAGTATGCCTTCTTTTCTTCTTTTTCTTATTAATGCAAATGGTCTGGGTTTGAATCCCGATCGTTGTCGCGTGATTCAAACTACGATCCTTCGATTCAGGTTTCTGTTTTCTATCTTTCTTAGTGACGAATGACTCCAATATGGGCCAGATTCGATCGAAATGTGCAAAAAACTGATTATAGTGGTCTTTGTTTGGACACGGCGGAGCAACACGTGAGCGATGTCGCTTTGCCGTATACAAACCTGAATGTTTCTACGAGGAAACTGGCCCCTATTTAGGTGTTACAAACGTCAATAAAACCAGAAAAATTTCATGAAACCAACCCACTGGCCAGACACGAACCCACTACCAACTACTAGCAGTGTTCGGTGGTTTTATCCACTCGACCACTGGTGGCCGATCATGTATTTTGAAACCGACAGTCGGATGGCCGAGGCGGTTGAGGCTTCAGTTTGTCGCTCTGTGGATCGAATACGGAAAAGCTATTGAAAATATTTTCTTGGGGGATGAGCCTTGTATATGTTGAGGAGATCCTTCACATCTGGATGCCTCCATCGTGGACCTGGCCGAACCCATGATGAAACCTATAGAAAAAGCTTTTAGAATCGTAGTGCTTATCGGCAGAAAGAGTTACAAAGGAAAAACTAGGGTGTTCTGAACCATAAAAAACTCAATTAAATTTGAATCTTACTTACGATATAAGAAATAGTTAATTTCTAAAGCTATTTGGTCCTTGTTTCTTCGGCAGAATGAGCATCTCCCAGATGAAACGTTCTCAAAGGATATAAGATTATGATAATTATTTTCAATCAATGGCGTGCCGAGAATGGACTAGGGGGAGACCATTCTCGGCTAGTCCCCTAAATTGTATAATAAAACAGTTTTAGTTTTTTGTGCTTATTGAAAACAGCATTGCATTGGTGATTTTTGTATTTCTATTATCATAAAACACTTAAAAGTTTTCATCTAAAACGTGAATCTATTTAAAAGAAGATATACAGTATGTAATTAGAAAGCTTTGAATTCAACATAGAAGAGAACTCGTTAGAAGCAGGCCCCTCGCAGAGAAACATGAAGCAGTTTAAATCTGTGAATGATGCAGCAGATGTAGGTGAATCGTCACAGTAAAGTGAAGACAGTCAACGATTTCTGTGCTGTATTCTGGCTCGCCTGCTTAAAACGTCGTTTGGAACCTTAAGTTTTCAAGAATGTTAAAACGTTGGGGGAATCATTTTTTTGACCGATGGCCATACTTTCCCTATGTTATATATAACAGAGCATGGAAAGTAAAATTAATGTGTGAATAAAATGAATTTTTTCCGGATGTTTAAATAATAATTGTTATAATGTATGAAAAATGGATTTTCTCACATCTGGTCTCTTTTGAAAATTGTAACCGCACACCACTATTTTCAATATCTGTTCAATAAGGGTTCGAATTGAGGAGTGCAAAGTTGGCTGCTTCAGAGACAAAGTGCTGTAAGTTTCAGAAATTTCTAAAGAAGTCTTTTGAAAAAAGGATCTCTGCCCTTAAGCGTTTTCTTACTTTCACTAATGTCAAATAAGTATAGAACAATCTCAAAAATTGTCATATCATTCAGGAGCAGGTAAGCAAGTGACAAAACTAGTCTACTGTGTCTGCACCTTTCATTGTAGCATAAAATTTACCCATTTTCAGAAGTGTGGCTAAATAGTGTTTACCCTCTTCTAGATGCATCACAGAACGAACTAGTTCAAGTTTCTTTTTTGAGGGGGAATGGTACAGGTACACTAGGATACAGGTACAGATACACTACCTCAATACGTTACGGCGATAAAACAATATACAATGATCTCAATTATCAATAGAAATTTTATTGTACACGAATAATTTATTAAATGATCATAAATGTCTGGTCGATCTATCTTAGGCCATATAATAGGTTCATTTCTCCATACACATCCTGGAAAACGACAGGAACAGCTACTTAAATTACAGATCTGAAGACCGGGATCTAAGCAAACAGGATCCGAACAGACAGGAAAAATGATTTACAAAAGATCATTCAGATTTAGTTTAGTTTTAAGCACGAATATTACATAATTTAATTATGTTGATTGATTAGATTAATAATGAAAGGGAAGTATCTTATTGTGGAATCCGGGATTGAATCCGATCTTTAGCAAAGTAATGTGTCGTGATTATAAATGATCCTTCAACATTTATGCAATCGGATAAATTTAAATTTCAATTGCGAATTTTTACAAGCAATTCATACAAAGTGGAAACATATATTTGTTAAATAACAGACTTTAAAAAGTATTCAGAGTATTTATGATGAATATAGTCAGTCTCCCGCTATAACCCAGAGATCATTAACAGAAATGAGAATAGCATCTATATCATAACACTCATTTTAAACATTTTAATCTAATATAAAAATTCTAAATTGTCCAATTTTACTTGAAAATAATAGTTTTTAACGTAAGATTTATTATAAAATCTTACACATTAAAAATTAACAGTAAAAAAGCAGAAACTTTTAGCGAAAATAATTTTTTATCACATATATATTTATTTTAAAAAATGACCACCAGATGGCTCTATGTTACATTTAAAACCAATTTAATTTTTATATTTTTACACCATTACTGTATATTGTTTTAATAAATTATAATCCTACAGTAGTTAAAAAATCTTATATATTTTATATTTTTTACGTCAAAAATTTGATTAAAATAAAAGTATTACTTTTATTAACTTTTATTCTTTCAATTTCACGGTTTTTAAATTTTGCATTGAAAAATTTTAAGCAATGTTTACTGTTTTTTCCCCAAAGAAAGGAAAAAAAACCTTACTAAAAATAATCAAATGGAATAATCTGCTATAAATATCAATAGATAATGACTATGACTAACTCTGAATCATTAGAAAATACTATAATATATTTAAACCAAAAATTTTATATTTTTAATTTGAAGACATTTAGTAATTGTACATTAAAAAAAAAAGTTAAATTGTGAAGTCTATACAGTCGACTCCCCTATAACGCGGTAGATACATTCCACTTTACAAGAATTTCGCGTTGTAGGAATCCTTAAATACATGAGCCAATCACAGCCCGGCACGTGTGCAGTTTACGGACTACGACTGTTTGAAAGGTTTTCTTCTATAAAATTAACCGATTCTAGACTAATTTGACTCAACATTTCCAAAACACGTATAATTTTTTGGGAATAATCCGTATAAACTATGCTATAAACAAAAAATTGTAAGATTATTACCGAGTGTGCACCGTTCGACGACGCCATTGCTTAAGCTTGTTTTCGTCGCGGAGCAGCGCACCGAACGACGGACGCGTTTTCTGATAAGTTATTTTTTTGCGAAAAATTCGTTGAACTTTGAAGACATCATTAATAAAAATAATTTTTATGGCCGTTGAATAAGAAATGTTTTTTTTTCACAAGAAATGTATAAAATTACAGTACTGTATTAGACTTACAGTACCTAATTTATATACTGTACAAACGATAGTAAACTCAACTTACCCGCCTAAACTCTCTGTAGCGTGTAAGTAGTTCGGCTGCTCGTCCACTATTGGTCGAGATTCGACCAATCCTGTCGCGACACGAGTCGGCGATGACGTTTTACCGCATTTTACGAATCTCTTTTAGCGTCTTTATACGAATACGGTCGCAATTTTTTCGCCGCGATATACGAATCTGCATTATATGAACCCGCGTTATAGGGGTCTACTGTACTTAAATTTAGGCTTATTGATTATATAATGTCATTCAGACGTCTAACCCTTCTATTATATTACTGTATATTATAGTATTTGATTTATATAACTACAAAGGTTTATCACTCCAAGCGACCAGTACACAATTTAAAGAATTTTTAAATTGTGTACGGTGGAGGAAGAAAACTTTTTGGTCCTAAATGTTTCTAACAAACAGTGATATCTGATGATAGCCGATTTGCAATTGCCATTATCATAGGCTAACACACTGTTAAAATGTGTCAGATCTGTCTTACCTCCCTTTTATCATAAGATAATGTCATAATTTTATTCGAGAATTACAAAAAAGTTCGGGTAATTTGAACCGGATAATTCAAAGTCGTGTTTCTTTGCTTCCTTTCGAAATCACGAAGTTTTACTATATCGAGAGGGATAGGACTTAATGAAGATTTTCATCGTTATTAGCATTTACAAACTCATCCCTACCATTGAAACTTGATATTAACAAGTTATTTGTTGCCATAAAGCTAAATAGAGTAGATTCAAAATCCATAATCGTGGTTTAAATATAGATATAAATTCCTTTTGGCGTTCGTCTACCTATGTGTCATGTTTTAATTTCTAGAATTAGATACATGAAAGTCGAGAGCAGATATGGAAAGTTCGGGGAAGGAGGCCCCATTAACTATACACGTACTTCCGAAATCAGGTTATTTCAATTCAAATATTTTCCACAAAATACGGTCATATAGTTAGATAGATGACCAGCATTCAATTTAATTCAATTGTAACAGAAAAACTACTATATACATTGTGATGTTGTTACAATAAATAACTGCTTCTGTTATTTCTACGTGTATTGGCTTATTTTCATCCCTTCTTATAACAATAATAAAATAAACGAAAGCACGCAACTCTTCGCTTGCCCTTCGTTACTTCCAAGTGAATGGCAACCCAGAACTCACGATACGGGAAAGTGGCTGCGTCAGAGTTCCACTGAGAGTTGGAAAGAATGCAACTTCACACGTGATTTTGTCACTTGTGCAGTTTCATTCATCCTAACTCACAGTTGAATAACATATATTTAATGTTAACAATTCTTTATCTTATCTACGCAATTCCGTCTGGAGACCAACGTTTGCTTGAGAAAATTTCACAATTTTAACGAAAATTGTCCCAGAAATGTTTCAAATTTAGAAGGAGGCATTTACATCCGAGCGGGCCGACTTCTGCTCAACGATTCTTCGTCTTTTCTTCGCAATTCCGTATTTTCTCCTCCAACAAAACGCCGCCAACAATGGAATCATTCGACAATCATCATCATCATCAACTCTAGGTTCATTGCCCGTTGGTGTCTGATGCCTTTTCCATTCAACAATGCATTCTAACAATTGGTTACTTTCGAAATTCTCCCGCGGGGGGAGAGGGAGAGAATTAAGGCTTAACCGGAAGAACAGCTTCTACTGTACTATTTTAGATGCGATATTTTTTTTAGTATCTGCGTTTCAGTAGGGTATGCCATGGGAATGCACACTAATAATGGATTTTTCGAAATTCTCCCACGGGGGGAGAGGATTAAGGCTTAACCGGAAGAACGGCTTTTACTGTACTATTTTAGATGCGATTTTTTTGTTTTTAATTACGTTTAGCCTTAGTTGAGTACTTAGTATATTAAATTGATAACATTTCAGACATTGTTATAAATATTTTGATATATTTCAATTTTTTAACCAAATGTTCGAACCGTTTTAAATTCGAATTTGTTATTGCATATTGGTTCGATTATAGAACGATTGTAAACGTTCCAGAAAATTGATCAAATTGAAAACATTTCGTTTGATTCTTGGCAATTCTCATCATTCTCAGCGGTAGGTGTTATATAACAATTACTATGGTTGTTTAAATACTGACTATAAATGGGGTTTGCTTGCAAAATCTTCGCGGGCAAAGCCGCGGCTAACAGCTAGTAGCCTAAATATTCATATAATATATTCAAAGATTAAATTCGTTGTTTCATTTTAATTAGTCAGTCTTTCCCTTTTATGTATTACATAATTTAATATGATTCACTCGATCATCTACTTTCCGTTATCTAACATCCATATTTTGTTGCCGATCTAATTTAGTAAAGCGTAATATCGACTTTAAAAAATCCACACGAACAACGTAATTTTTGTATATCCGTTTGATCAGAAACTAAACTTCATTGCCGTAAGAGAAGACAGCTTTAAAGATCATAGAGTGGCCATTTGTTATTCAAAGTGGCGTTTGATTATTCATTGAATTTTTCTACAGCTTCTTTATTTTTTGTGATATTTGATTTTCTAAATAGCTAAATTTGGATTCTTGTTTGGTTGTTTTTTTCCATTATTTTTATTCTGCAAATGTTCTTGCCGTAGATTCTCATTGCTATGCTTTCTAAACTGTCATATCTGTATTTCTATCATTAAAATTTAAATTATTTTATGCGCTGATGATCAACTTTTAGTTGACTTGCAGAAAATATCCAATGTACGAGTACTAAATAAAACAGTCAAAAATTTTGATAGGCAATCTTCAGATACCAAAGCAGTGTAAATTTGTGTGAAAACACCTTAACAGTCAAAAGAGGATTTAATGGAAAAATAATTGAAGAATTTAAATATTTAGATAACGTAATACACGATAATGTAAATAATGTAATCACATGAAAATGAAGACATTAACAAAAAATCTGTAGAAATATAACAAAATCAATGAATTTAAATTAGATCAGCAAGATATGAATATTAGATGACAACTGACAGTAGACAATAAAGTAAATCAATTAAATGAAAAGATTAATTGATTAAATAAATGGAGATATCAAGAAAATCTTCAGTTTAAACCAAACAGATCTTAAGATCTAAATCAGAGTTGTTCATAATGATGGTTATTTTGCTACTAGGAATGAACTAATAAAATAAATAAATAAATAAGCCACATACCAAAATTAAATAATATTTTATTGATTAAAATATCAGATTTAAATCAATAAAAATAAAAAATTATATATTTTAAAACTATAAAATACAAATATATTACAACCATTAAGAACAGCAATAGTTGTATACAGTATAAATAATTACTACTTTATGTTATTTTAATAATGGCTAATAATAGCTTATTACAATAATTATTTCCCCAATGTTTTTTTTTCTTTCACATTTTCAACACGATATTTAAAAATATTGGATTTTTCCGACCATTTAAAATTTCCCAGAAAAAATATAGAAGAAAATTAAATTAATGTGGTTTAAATATTTTAATAATGCTTATTTTAATGGATTTATTAATACATTTTTTATTCATATTTAATAATTTATATAGAATGAAGTATTATATATAAAACGTCCATATTAAATCACGTAACAGTTGATTATAAGCCCGAACCCCTCCCTTCGTAATGAAAAAGTTTATAAAATGATAAATATAGGATAAATAATTTAATTGTGGAGTTAACTACTGACTTATTCATTTATATATGTTTGTTATAATCCATTATATAAGTATATAAGTATATGTGTGGGGGCACCATTGCATTTTTTCAGTACAGATCTTACATTAACAAATAATAGCAGAAATTATTTGTCTTGTTTAACTACTCTTAGAATTTTATAAAATATCTGTAGTCAAATTTTATAAATTGTTTAAATTGTGAAATACAGTTCACAAATAACTTACAATTAAGTGTATAATTTCAAGTTTCGATAACCCAATTTTGTGTGCCCAGATTTACATTGTATATATTTGTTTCATTATGATATACAGCTTATTCTATAAACTATTACTTGTGATTTCAATATATTTTGATCGATTATAGGAAATTCTCGCCAGATATGGGACTCTCGTTAGAGTCAAATATCGGTTAGTATCGCCAGTTTTTGATGTCCTTGCAGAAAATCTATACTTTAGATTTTCTGCAAGGACATCAAAAACCTCGCTTAGCAGTTAACATCTAACGTCCTTTCCACTTATCTTCCATAATTAATATTATTATGTACTTACATAAAGCTTTAACAAATGTAAACAATCTTTGTATTGGAAATTTCAGAATTTTCCAAAAGATTTTTGGTTGTCTTTCAAGGAAATTTTAAAAATTTCATCTGGAAATACTCACATGACATGAAAGAACGTGTATCTGTATAGTTGTATTAAAAACACTTTATTTTTAAAATGTTAAAATCTAAATTAATAAGTATGTACAGCATAAGTAACGAGGATTAATGAAGTCACAGTGAAGTTGATGACTAAGAATATGATACAGAAGTTCCTATTTCAACAGTTGCACCTTTTTTTTCTTCTGTAAACTTCGTCGATTCATTCAAATCGAAGGAAATTCTGAATAAACATCGAATAATTACTTTAATAAATTTCACGAATACATTGGCAAAACCGTAACCAAGAAAAAAATTATTCATAATAATTGACCCTATTTTTTATGACTGACATCCTTCTTGTACGTATTTAAAAATCACTCCGACATTTTCGAGTATTCTTTGAATAAAAAAATGTATCTAAAAATACGAATTAGATTCATATAATAAAATATATAGGTGAAATATTACCACTCTACGAGTCAACTTTGACACCAAAACTGTCGACTTGCAGGCAGTCCATAGGAGTTGACACTAGAATCTACTGCTTAATAATAATATACAACTTCGTAGTAAAGCAATTATTTTCGTTAAAAATAAAATGACATAGTTAAATGATAATTTTTAAATTTTACTTGAATTACCTTACGTATGGAAATTCAAGATATACCAATCCAAATTATGTATTTGGGTGCAATTAATTCTTTCTAAGAAATCATTTATAGATGAATAAGTTGTTTTCCGGTTTACATGAAACAGTCGTTCTAATTTTTAAACAAATGTATTATTAGACCATAAAATTTTATTTACGAAAATAATCATTTTACTAAGAATTTGTACGCTATCATTAAGTACATTTAACTTTAAACATTCAATTTTCTATCACAGTTTTTCATTTAATGTAATGTTTTTCTATAATAAATATATTTTGTTATCCAATTATCCAATTTTGTTCTGAAAGAATCTGAAAGTTATATAATATTTCACTATAGGTTTTTATTTCATTAGGCAAATGTTTATTCGAAGAAGTAGCTGATCATTAAATACGTACCACAAGAAAGGCATCAATCATAAAAATAGCATAGATTAAATGTTATAATATATTACTATTACTGTAAGCACAAAAAAATAGTTGTTAAAGCAAGCATTAACCATAATTTAGATAGCCATTAAAATTCATTATGAATTTTATCCATTGTAAATAATCTCTTAAATAAAACTTAATATATTATATATGAAATGTTAGAATATTTATATCAGAAGTAATTAATATGAAAGTTAGCAACGTTATTGCTAGACTTTTCCAACATTCTTTATTTGTTGTCATCCCTAATAATTGCTATCATTACCTTTTATTAATCTTCAGATTTACATAAAGGTTACAGTATTTGTAAAATGAAGGCCATTTAACTATTTTAAAAATATCACTCTCTCACCTCTTCAATGTATCTTTCTATCTAATTCCGATGAAAATTATGATTAATAAAACAAAAAATATTTATTTCAAAGAATTTCATAAACAAATAGCTTTTTTTAAGATATATATTTTACCTCGAACCTAGCTTGGAGGGTTGGAGAAATATCATTTTCTTACAACTATTTTATCAATATACACATATTGAAAAAGAGCTCATTTGGTTTATTCTATTAAAAGTTATTTTAAAAAACCCTACCGAAAATCTAAATATTGAAGTAAAGGTAATTTTTGAAACAAATATATTTATTTTTTAGTAAACTAAAAATTTGTACGAGTAAAAAAACTTTTCATAGCGTGGAAGGTTTTCGAGATACGCCTCCCCTTTAATATCTCACGAACAAATTATTCGATTTTTCTGAGAATTTCTAGAAACATTTCCCCCTAATACGCAAACCTCTCTACAATATTTCAAAAATTTTCGGTAAAAAGCACAGGAATTATTAAGCTTCAAAGTGAGCGAATGAAATTCGCTCCATACGTACTAACAGAAAAAAAGAATCCGTAATTTTTTTGCATTTCTCGGCGTTTCAAAATCCTCAGAGTCTAAAAATGTAAAAATCTTGAGGAGTCAAAAAATGATCCCCCAAGATTTTTACGTTTTTGGCTTAGATATAACAGAAGGAAAGTAATAAATTCAAATAGACTTCTACATTAATAAGATTTGTTCGTCACGAAAGATGAACTACTTTATAACAGATTTATAATTACATTTTCAACAAATTTTTATATAAAAACATAAAACAAAACTAAAAGCTAAAAACTGAAAATAGAGAGCTACCAAAATAAATCTTTTACAGTTTCGGAATCACTAGTCTATAGCGTTATAACGCAAAGAATTTTTATTTTTAAGGTAATATTAACTTTTTACTAAAATAAAATAAATGAAGTAAATATCAAAATTCTTTACAGTAACTATTTTTATTCTTCCGATTGTTATATATAATACAGGAAAGTGTGTGTGAGGGGCACGATTTTGATCACCGTGTTTGAAGCTTAATAACTCTTGTGCTTTTTGTCGAAAATTTCTGAAAATTTTGCAGGGAGATGAGTGTACTAGGAAAATTGATGCTATTAAATTTTGGTGGTTAAATGTCGAGGGGGTGGGGAGATAACGGGGTCGTGTTTATCTCCAATAGGGCTGGACTTAATGACGATTTTACTTATTATTAGCATTTACAATTTCTTTTATAAAACCTATCCTAAAAATCAAAGCTTTTTGCCATTTTATAATAGTTAAAAATATAAAAGCTTTTTATATTTTGACAACAGATGGCTTCACCAAATGATGCCGGGAAAGTTAAGCAACTCGTTGCTGGATTTTTTTTTATGTTTGTGAATATATTAATGAAATGCTGTCTTGGTTTTGCTTTTGTGTTAATACCTGTTAGAAAGTCCTGAAATATTTTATTGAAGTACGTGTACAAAAATACATACAGTAATTCAATAAAAAAAACAGACAAAACTCTGTAGGTCTGTAAGCAATTTGTTGCTGGATTTTTTGGTATTGTTTCAAAAAATTGCTTTCTAGTTATTTTATAATAAATGATAGGCCTAATTCTAACCAATTACAGAATTTTCTGAAAAATTTGGCACAATATTTTAATTTCAAAGTTCACTCCAATAAAACAATAAAAAATTATTAATATTTGTATAATAAATTAAATATCCAGGTGAGTTAAATGGCGATTTAAAAATCTATTTATCTAATTTTTATTCTCCCGGCTCTGTTATACAAAAGAGGAAAAGTAAGGTAATCGGCCAAAAAAATTACCCCTCAAGATTTTTACATTTTCGGCTGGGGGACCTTGAAACGTCGAAAAATGCAAAAAAATTTGGTGCTTTTCTCTATGTATAGATGTTAGTGTGTGTGGGGTGGCTCGATTCTGTTCACCCTCTTTGAAATTTAATAACTAATGTGCCTTTTGTCGAAAATATCTGAAATTTTGTAGGGAGATTTGTGTTAATACACAATCTTCCTACAAAATTTCAGATATTTTCGTCTCCTAGAGAGATTTGTGTATTAACACAAATCTCCCTAGGAGACGAACGACGTCAGATATACAGGGGATTAAATGCTATTCAAATTATGATTTTCGGAAATCCGATTTATTCTGATACAGATAAAACTGAAACAATAAACTTTTAATAAAAAATAAATAAAAGTTTTGTTAAGAACCGGATTCACGAACATCTTGTAATACGACGCGGTATCTCTGAGATTTCATAAAGATACCAAGAATTTACGTTATCTTATCTCTTCCATTTGTAAAATCGATTGTAATATTTATCTGAAAACAAATATAATTAACAAGGATGTTGATTATGTCTGATGGCATCACTGTGTGTGTTTCTAAGTAGAAAGCTGCTAAGTAAGCAAACCAATAGCATAATCCGTTTCATTTGAAGCAGGTGAAGCAGATGAACCAAATAGTGGTAGAAAGTATTTGGTGTCGACATGTGCATCACATGAAATGCAATATTATGACTTCTTTCTATTCTATATTCAATAATGTTTGGTATTTTTGTATACATGTTTCATTGTGAATATGTATTTATTTACACTAATAATTGAAATTTTCTAAAATTCCGAATTATTCGGAGTTTTGTTTATTCAAATTTGGATTTGGTTCAAATTTGCTCTAATCCGGATAAACGCTACTTAAAAATGTCATCTGAACGTGTGCTTTTATTTTTAAACAATAGGAATAAAGTTCCATTAATACAATTGCAATCACAAATAATAATCTTACATATAGTTTTCGGGGGACAGATGCTTTCCATGCATTGCTAGTGCTACGTTACAACCAGAGCGAGTACCAGAACGAAAGGGGCAAAAGTCTTTAGTACTTTCAAGCTGTTCATGCAAAATATATTCACATAAATATTATTCAATGAATATGGTACTCCCAGTGGCCGAGTGTAGTTCATAAAATTCCGTTAAAAATGATTATTGTATAATAAGTTACATAGGAATAAATTTATGAGTAATATATTACACTATTACACATGTATTAGTAATGTTAAGCAACATAACCCTTTGTAGACTGGGAGTTAATTGAGGAAGTTGGGAAGGGCCAGTGAGGTGATCTATGGATTAAAGTCAGTCACACACATTTTTACTTCGACGGAGACTTTTTTCTGGAGAATATTGGAACTTTTTCCGAAATAATGAAGATTTTCATGAAAAAAGGAGTCTTTAAATAGTCAGGCTCGCGAAATAGTATGCAATGTGCATAGATTTATGGATGAACAACAAAAACATTTATTGTAAAATTATTGTTATCAACATCTATAGATAATGATGATTAGAAAACTAGTGTTGAAATTTAGGTACATTCGGATTTTGTGTCCAATTTAATATTTTATGTAATACTTTCATTGATTAAAAACAACCCTAGTCTATAAGTGAAGGTTGTTTTTTTCGGTCTTTCACTGTGATTGTGAAATGACAGATTTGTGAATACAAAAATTTTTTATATTCTTCAGTAATCTTGTTAGTTTTTGAGAGAAAAAGAGGCAGGTTTGAGGACTTTAACCAAAGTTGTCAGCTGGGTTTCCAGGTGCTGTATTAACCAATGATAAAATTAAACTGTGCCTGTTTAGTCTTAGAATGATATCAATACTAATCGGGCCTATAATGCGGCACCCACATAGCCTCGAAAAGGGCTGTTCTTAACCACTATGTACTCAACTGTTTAGCCAGTTCATCAATAACGAATTGACTTGACTTTTTCCAGAAGTTCAAGTTTCAGAAATCCATCGTCACATGATTTCGAAGCCACTCGATAATTTTTGATTTCGTGTTTTGGCTCGTGTTTTGTCGACCTGTCGATTTGAACGGAATGATAAGATGCATTGTCCATCGCAATAATTGAATTTTTAGGCATGTTTAGGCTTTTTAAGAAGATTTTCTAACAAACCAGCGTTGAAAATAAAATGAGTTTCTGCTGAAATAAAAGATGTATAAAAATATAAAAAAGTTCAAGCAGAATAATATGCAATATAAAAAAATTATTAATATTTGTATAATAAATTAAATATCCAGGTGAGTTAAATGGCGATTTAAAAATCTATTTATCTAATTTTTATTCTCCCGGCTCTGTTATACAAAAGATGTTATAAAAAAGTAAAGTAAAAAAATTACCCCTCAAGATTTTAACATTTTTGGTTCGGGGACCTCGAAACGTCGAAAAATGCAAACAAATTTGGTGTTTTTCTCTATGTAGGGGAGACCGGGGCAAGATCGGCATGTTAAGCTTTACTTAAATTTTGTGTAATAAATACTGCTGTAAACTAAAAAAAAGCTTTGCATATTGTCTATTGGAATGTTACCTTACTATAGAACTGGTTAAAATCAGTTTGGAAATAAAAATAATTAAAATAATTACAACTTTACAAGAAGAGAGAAATTGACGAAGTTGCCCCGGGTATAGGGGCAAGATCGGCAACTTCTCTCTTTTTGTAAAGTTGTAATTATTTTAATTATTTTTATTAAAGTTGCCCCTGGTATAG